GCCCCAGAGAATCTATATAATTACAAGATGAATAAAAATACAAAGATTTCACAGATGTGTATTGAGATGGCACATAGCATCTACACATAGCAATCTACAATTACAAAGGTTCTTAAAAGTTTTTCTAAAACCTGTGTTCCAAAAGACATATGAAGAAAGAATACAATATCCACAAAGTTCATTCAGCGTTGTCTTAAAAGGAAAAGACATTTCCCAGTCTCCTAAATAGTAAAAAAGATAATAATAATTGTAACAACAGTGAAACTAATATTTTAAACTTGTTATTTTATTTACATTTACAAAGACTTCTAAATCTAAATTTTATTAATTTTAACTTGCTATTTTAATTTTGATCATAATAATTACAACTTCAGGAGAAACATTACCTTACAGAGCTACAGGCAAATCTAAGTATAGCATGTGAAATAATGAAATTATTTTCTTTATGCTAGAGAAATTTTAATCTTTTAGAACTAAAAAGTTTTAGTGAAGCAATATTCTTTTTCAGTGATTCCAATGTTGTACAAAATCAGAAAGTGGTGCACCCAAAAGATTTTATACATTAGAAAATCTTGATCATAAAAATATGGAAAAATAATTGTACATATCAAATTTATTCATAACTATACTAAATATATATATTTGTATCTGTCAATAGGGTGATATTAGTTTTTGATCCAGAAATATATCCATAAAAAGGGTAATGTTTATTTTAATCATGCTTCCCCAAGCATTATGATAAACCACTAAAAAGTCAAAATAATGAATTTTCACCAAGTTCAACGTTCTGTACAGAATTTTGGGAAATGAGTAGAAACAAATAAAACACATGCAATCTTTTAAAGAATATTTTAAATATATTAATTTCATATATTCATGCAATTAACTCACTAATTTACAAGGAATCTTCTCAAGTATACAAATATATTACCAGATCTAAATCAAAAGGTCAAGTGAACCAACGAGCCTGAGTAAATTAAAACAGTCCCTGAGGATCAGTTAACGCCTCTGAATGTTTATTAGGCAGTCGCTTAATTGCTACTTAACTGTAAAATGTACCTACACTGTTACAAAGATTAATGGACCCAGAACAAATGTTTATTTGTTGTGAGAAGGTAGGAATCATTGATTCCCTGTATAGGATATTTTAAATGCTATATGACATTATGTCTCAAATATTTTTGACGATAAATATTTTTACAAATGTATCTTCATTTAATTTATACACTGAGAATGCTGTACATTGATTTTAAGTGATATCCACTAATTTTGACTAATTGAAAGATTTTACATGTAGACAAATATGTTTCATAAAATTAATCACAAACAAAAATACAGGAGTGTAATTGTCCATTCAAATGTTTTTGTTGAGTATTATTTAGAAGTAACTTTTCAGATATTATAGAAATATTGTTAGATTCAAAAGAATCACTTTTCTTAAATGAGTATATATTTACTTGAATTTATCTAGGACATGATTACTACATTTGAGAAGTTTTTAGCTAATAAATGTTTGGATCCCAAATTAATTTTGCTTACTCTTTAATATTTGAGTTGCAGGCATTTTCAGTATGGTGTATTCAATATTCATGTTGGATTTAATACCTATGTAAACAATTTTATACTAGAGTATTATAGTAAATTCTCAAACATACTCCAGATTTTCTTTACCCTGGTTGGCATTATTAGGCTTAGATTGTGTCAGGGAACTATGGCAACCACATGGATATCCATTTGAAAAACCCTGGTTGACTGAACTGTCAGTTCAATTTCACTCAGCAATAGAGTTAGCATAATTGAATTGGTTTTGTCTTTTAAAGGAAATGTAATGTTATTGCTAGGATTCTTAAAAATAATCTTTATTATATCAATATACTTTTCTCTGTAAGCTTGGTTATCTTAAATCTTGGTTTAATTGACTTGTAATTCATTATAAATTATGACTGGTTACAAAATTCTCCTTTGTGAGCTCTTCCAGCAGGCTACAAAGAACCTTGTTAATTCATATTTGTTACAAAGTGAGCACTTAGACTTGGCATATGCTGAGTGCTCAATTAACAATATTCATTTAGAATAGTTGATAAATATATATTAGTGCAATATTTCACAAGCTGTATTATCTTAAGGATTTCATCTAATATGTAAAATTAAGTCATAAGAGCCCAGTAAATCTTCCTCTATCTCCCAGTATCTCTTTCTTCTTCCTTCCTTTATTTTCTCTCCTTCATTTCTTCTCTCTCCTTAAATTTTCATTCCTTCCCCCAAAGTATTTGCGAGTCATTTCATTTTAGTGTAATTTCATGCATACTTTATTTTCTAAATCCTAAATATTTTGATTTAAAAATTTAGATGATTTATATTTCAAAAATGATATTTAAAACCTATGATAAAGGGAATAAAATAGTTCTGCTTAACTCGAAAGTTGTGACAGTGTTTAAAACATACTGAATACTACTGAGATTAAATAATAAGCCTTACTAACCATATGCTTAATATGACATAACGTTTGGATTTCATAACCTTTATACCAAAATGTTGTATCTCTTTTAGGCCCAATAAAATAATAACTTTTAACCAGGTAATTTTTAAACTGCAGAAAAGTAGTATTAACAATTCAGAACAAAGGGAAATACAAAATTGAATTTCAGTGTAACAATAGAAATGGATTTTACGTTTCAGTGTTTGAATGGTGTTAGATATTAACTAATGAAGAAAATGTAAAAGTAATGACTTGTGTTCCATGTTATTTTAAATTATTTTAAATGATTTAAAAATCAATTTAGGAAATTCATGAAGCACCAAATTATATAGAAATAATTTAATTATTTCAACTTCAAACTCCCATATTATCTCTGATGGAAAGTTTTCTCTGTCCTGTTTATGATGTGTAATTTCATACATGTTTTTTCTTGTCTAAGGGAAATACTTTATTCCATTGTCGGATAAAAATGATTTGTCACCATTGTTTGCTTTTAAGGGCTGTTTGCTTTTTTTTTGTTTTTTTTGTTTTTTGTTTTTGGGGTTTTTTTTTTGCACTGAACACTGAGAAAAAAATCAAGGCACAGGGGACTGGTGTCCAGATGTTGTACAACAAATCAATATTTAAAATACACAAAAGAGATTCCCTCTCCCTTGAAAGTAGGGCTTTTGTACACTTGATATGTTGTTTTATTAAAATGTCCAACTCTGTCTAAAGAAGGACATCACATTTAGATTTAGCTTCTGTTTCTGTTTACTCCTCTACATTGTGGTTACGGAACAGTAATGTAAATGCACTTTAAAGTGTGATTATTATGCCCTATTGGGAGTTGCAGAAGCTGTTGATTTCAAGAATGGTCAATTACCATATTCCTGGTTGAGTTGAGCAACACACTGCTTCTCTGACCCCTTCGTTCCAGCGAAGGTTACTGCATTCTATTTTAAAGGACAATTAAAGATAAATATTAGAAGTTTCCAAGAATTCCTATCTAGACAGAGATCACAATCTTCATCATTCTAAATATAGTTATAGTGAGAAAAACCAACTTCCTTTCTCCAAACACCTACTTCCAGAATAGTAGCCTTTGGCTACACTCGTTTATTGCTTACACCACACCAAGCATTTAATACCATGATTTATGTACCAGAAGATTATGCCTTGAAATTCTCTTTTATCATTTTATTCAATTCCTGGTTTCTACCGAGAACAGCTTTCATTATAAAGCTAACTGTTAAATGCACTGATGGTGTCAAACCTGTCCCCTGCATTCAACTCATTTTCAAATTTCTACCCTGCGCCTCTGGCCCCCTGGGGTGAAGCGCTGCCTGTGTACATTAATAGCAGAATCACAGTGTGTCAGGATGGTGGCATCGTCACACTTTGACGCCAGCCTCCCTGTTTCTTCTGTGTGTCACTACAGAGAAACTAAGGCTAAAGGTTAAAAGATGCGGTTTATTAAATAATTCAAGCCATTAACCTGCAACCTGAAAAACCGATGGCAGCCTATTAAGTTTACACCGCCCGCCGTGATTCATGCTTGGTGTTTACTGATGCTAAAGGATAATGCCTATTTGCTTTACTTTTATTGCTACCCAGTAATGCAGTGAGGAAAGAGGGTAAAAAAAGGTGACAGGATCTACGCAGGGGGACAATAAGAGCAGCAGCCTCACTTGCATAAAGAAGATTGAAGCCTTCCCTCCCTCCCTCCATCTCTCCGTATAGGCCCCGGTGCACATCTGCGTCACTTACGCGGGAGGAGGAGGCGCTGAGGCAGAGAGAAAATTGTACAGTGAGGACCTTGGCAGCCTCACGGGCGGGCTTTTCCCACTGGCTCCCCGTGTTTTCTGGAATATTTATTTGGTCTTTTACAAACTGACTCTACCAAGCCATCCTTCCCGCACTGCAGAAAGCGAGTGACTTCCTCACGGGTCCCCTGCAAGCTATCTATCGGGGCATTCTCTCTCTCCGAGAGGCCAGGGCAGGGGCGCAGGTGCTCTGGGAAGGCTGGGAGTGCGCTTCTTCGCGACTTGGGAGTCTTTCTCTCCGCGCTCTCCAGGCACTGAACTCTGAGCTGCAAGGACGAGAGCACAGAACCTTCCACTAAGGCTGCCAAGAGTGTATCCCCGGGAGGTGTATCCGGCTGCGGCCAGCTCCCGGGCTCCGGCGTGCGCAGACCCGCCTCGGGGTCTTCCCTGCGGGCCATAACCACTCGATTCCTGCGCACATATCGAGGATTCTCCGCGCTTGGCGTCTCAGTCTTGCCTCTGCGCCGGACCAGTGATTTCCCCACTGCCGGGTCCAGAGGACCTGATCGCCCCCGAGCCGCGCGGCTTCGCGGTCCGCACTCGCGTCTTCGCCCGGCCCCTCGCGCAGCTCGCCTCGCCTGCTCAGGCTGCGGGGCGCGCAGGGAGCATCCCGCCTCCGCCTCCGCCTCCGCCTCAGAGCTCTCCCGGCCAACACTGTCTGCTAGCCAATCTACTCCTGCCCAAGCTTGAGTCCCTTTGGCTTGTTTGCGTAAAGCATGTCGGGCTCTGGGAGAAAAGACTTCGATGTGAAGCACATTCTGAGACTCCGCTGGAAACTCTTCAGCCACCCGTCGCCTTCCCCGGGCAGCCCGGCGGGGGGCAGCTGCCTGCAACAGGATGGCAGTGGCAGCTTTGAGCACTGGGGACCCAGCCAAAACCGGCTGTTCAAAAGCCAAGAGAAGGGCAGTGTGAGCACTTTCTGGAAGAAGCCTTCCTCTTCTTCCTCCTCTTCATCGTCCGCCCCATCTTCTTCTTCCTCTTCCTTCAACTCCCTGAATGGCACCCTGCTGCCTGTTGCCACCAGGCTGCAGCAAGGGTCTCCCGGGCAGGGCACCCAGCAGCCAGCCAGGACTCTCTTCTATGTGGAGTCCCTAGAGGAGGAGGTGGTGCCAGGCATGGACTTTTCTGCACCACAGGAAAAGGGGCTGCCCCTGCAAGACCTCCGAGTGGGGCCGGCCAACTCCAGCGAGGCAACAGGTGAAGGATGTGGACACAGGTACAGTAAGTTCCATGGGGACCCCAGCTTCTCCCAATCTCCACTCACTTCTCCCCGCGCTCCTGTAGTTACAGTTAAGGCATTTCATGTTGAGAATTTGAGTTGGATATCAAGCCAGTTTTTATTACCTGAGTTGTAATCTCATTAAAAGTTTGTTCATTAATGTCTATTGGTTCATACTCATTACTTTTCTTTTTGCAAGTCCCAGAATTGTCACCACCAACTGAAGAATATATGTGGGCTCTGGTAAATCTTTAGGTAAAATGGTTCTCATATTTCTCACAGTAAAACGTTTCCCCATCTTCCCTCATTAAATTATGCCAGTGTTCCCATTATCTATTTGAGGTGAAACTGGCTTTAAGAACCATCAAAATGCATCTCATATAGTTGCCTGGTGACCGACTTAGCATTGTTATCTCGAATTCCTGTGTCTTGAATCAATATTCGAGGAGTAATCAGGTGGACAAAAGGATCAGGGTGGACAATGCTATCTTATCTCTGCCCTTCCCCCAAACAGTGTTACTGTTCTGGGTCCCAACTTCCTTTCTGGTCCCTATACCTTGTATTCACTTTGGCCTTTTACACTGTAACATTTAGCATTAAACTAAGCTGGTCCCTTTTGCCTTCAGTGTCTGGGATTTGTTGGCTCATTATCAACAACCGTATTTGTATAATAGGCAGGTCAATATTTATTTCTAGTTTATTGTTCACGTTACACTGTGTAGAGTTCTGCTATCTTGAAAATACAGAAAACTTTTACAACACTGGTCATTCTTTCTGAATTTTGTATTTTTAGGAAACTGACTCATCATTATTCTACACTATACCATTACTAGTTTGGATGTATAATGAGGTTATGAAAGGATTTTCATTTAGATTCATACGAATCAGAATACATTATTGAAGAAGAAATATAGGAAATGATAGTGAATATGCTCAAAAATTTTAATTAATTCTAAAGAAAATATTAGAAGCATCTTTTTAAATTTTCATTTAATTGAATCAGCTTCTAAAAATTTGGCTAATTTCTATAAAATATATAAAACAAAATAGTATATATATATAGTTGTTGTTTACATTGAGAATGTAATAGTACAGGTAGAAAAAACACTTAAATTTTTATATCCTATAGATTATATAGATTTAATTTGAATTTTAAGAGTCTTGAAAATATTCTGATGTGTATTAACACATTTAAAATAATATAAAATTATTATTTTAATGGAGATATTTTATTTGGAAATTTCAAGTATGTCAAAAGTTTTCCTTATGTAGAAGAACTAAATATAAGTTTATCTATTATTTAATCAAGTTAGTTTACCAAAATTGTTATAAGTAGATACTGTGAATACCATGTAGACATATTTATTCAGTATTTGTCTATAATTTTTATTTTTTGAAAATAAAATGTGTTGATTTTTAAATATTCTTTAGCTGTATAAACATAAAATTTTCAAAGGAAGGAATTATTCATAAACATTTAGCAATTCATTTACATAGTTGAAGGAAGGAAAAGTTAAATACTAGTTTGCTGAATCTGCTTAGTTTGAAAGACAGCTAAAAAAATAGAACACACATATTATGTATACGTATAATTGATTTCTGCATAGTAAAATCAGCTGGATATATCTGACCTGATAATATTAATGTATCATTTAAATAAAAATAGTTTATGACCTGATAATATTAATGTTATGTTTCATTTTCAAAAAAAAATAGTTTATGATACAATATTTTCAAGCAAGTGGGGTATATATGGAATTGACAATTTGTGAAAATGCTTATCTCAGTTGGAGAATTTAAAAATACTAATGAAGTACTGATTTAATAAAGTATAATAAATTTTAAAACATGAAGCAAATACCTAATAGCTCTGGAAGCATTGGCCAGAGGTATGTATGAGATGGGAATGCAGAGGTAAGGGACTTTTGGAGCAGCACAGGGTAAAGTTCCCTGAAGGCATAGTTCCAGGCAGTTAGAGATTAAAAGATGGCCCATAGGGGCACATGTCCAAGAAGCATCAGGTGTATTGCCTTAGGGAATGAATGCTCTGGACTTTGTCCTCCCCATATTTGGATTTATCATTTAGATTGGTCCCAAGGTCAGTCATTAAACAGACCATCCTGACCTCGCCCTGTCTTTCCCCTGATTTTCCCTGTCTCCTACCTGAGTTTCAGCCCAGATGCTCTTCATTTGTCTTTTATCCTTGCTTTCTGATTCTATCAATAAAAGGCCATAGAGGCTTCAGTTTGGGGCTGATTGAGACTTTCTCAGGCTGAGGGGTCTCAATTAATGGCAGCTCCTCTAGGCCCCCATGGAGGATGGATCAGACATTGACTCAGAGTAATCTGAGCACACTTTCATCCTTTTGTGCCATGTCACAGTCGTGAACTCCTACAAATAGCTTAGAAATAAGTCAGATTTTACTTACCTTTGAACATTTTCCATTCTTTTTAATTTCACAGAAAGTTGTAAGACGTAAGAATTCTGAAAATAATGCAAGTGCAAACCAAAATCATCTTTACTGTTGGAATCAGAGTGTCCTGTGAGACTTTCCATGTGTAAACTATAGAAAAAACAGTCTGATTTAATTTAAAAATTCTTCTCAATACTTATGTGATTTAGATAAATCTGAATTTCTTACTGGACAAAGCAGTTAGCACTTTTAGTATTTAATGGATCTATTTTCTGTTCTTAAACTTTCTTAGAGCATTAGTTCTATGTTCACTCTTGGGAACCTCGCCAGTATATTAGCAATTATTCATTACCAATATATAGTATTTTAATGTATGATAATTGTAGGGTTCATTACCCAAAAGAGATAGCACTCACAAAGTAAAATACTGAGTGGAAATTTCACTGGAGCTCTATTCAAAATGATGAATAATATAGCTTGATTTTTCTATGGTTACATATCTAGGAGAGCTACACAATGTCTATGATGATGAGTAATCAAACTACATAAACAATGAATACCAATTGTTATCACTTAAGTCATTATTATATTACCCAAATATGATGTCAAATTTAATACTTAGCACTTTTTTTTTCTGATACTGACTTCTGTGTTAAATTAATCTTCATGTGTGAAACAAGGTTTGGCCATTTCTCTTATGCTCTCTGTACTCATTTAAAACATTTTTTTCTCTTTACTCATTGCATCTTCCACTAATTAGAAACATTATTTTAGACAAGTATGAGTAATTTACTTGGTGCAATTTGTTGTGAGAAGAGCAGATAGAGAAAATTTAGGAGGAAGTTGCCCATAATCTCAGGATCTTGGAAAACGTCAAAGTTTCATAAACTGAACACAACAGTAGCAGGAATGTAGAGATAAACCACTTAATTGCCCAAACACAATGTGTATCTTATCCTATTTTATTACACCAAACAGCTAGACCATATGCTACCCTAAACAAATCTCCATACCCTACTATCTTGATCATTATCAATGAGATTTAAATAGTAAGTTATTTATTTGTTATTAATAATTAATTTCTCTACTTTTCTGATTCAACTTAGTTTAGAAAGTATATCATTTCCTGCTTAGTCAGATCACCACATATTTGTATTGTAGATATTTTTAGCCAAAATTTCATATTTTGTTACAAAGCAACCAGAATATTTGTATTCTTATAGTTTATAATGTTGTGAGTAGAAGAGATACCATGTTTTACCTGCTTGCTTTTTTAGAAACTAAATTTGGAGAGTGCAAACATCTAATTTCATGCTTTTAATTACTACCTATAGACAATGTTTCCAGATTTGTGTCTATAAACCTAGTTCTCTCCCTGACTTCTGATCTCATAACCCAACTTTCTCTCTGACTTCTCTGGTGGCTTTCAAAGATTACTTAAATACAACATAGAAGATGGAGAATTTCAAATCTCCCTTCTGTCTTCCTCAATTTCCATTTTCTCCATGGAAAATTCTGTTATTCTGGTATTCATAGAATAACTCTCCATACATTAGGAGAGAAAGTAGTAAATCCAGTATCATATTTGTCAACATCTTTCCCCATAATTTTAAGTATTCTAAAAAAGCCTTGGAAATTTTATGTAGAAAAGCTACCTTCTAATCTGTCTAATATCTCCATCTTTACTGATTGCACCTATCCTAAGTCCTCATGTCTTTGTCTCAGATAATTCTAAAGTTGGTGAAATGGTAAAATAAAAAGCTGAACCATTTTTCCTTATACTTAGTGCCCTTTTTTCCCAAAAATATTCTCCACACTTCTGTGATCACTATACCATGAAATACTCCATGTGCACAATATATACCAAAGACTTCCAGACTCTAAATGACCTATCCCTACTGCTATGTGAGCCTTTACTCACCAACCTCTGCCTTCCAGAAACTTTATCCTTCTATATGATTTTTTCCTGTTCCAGACCTCACAAACCTGTTTCCTGTTCTCAATAGTGGTTCTTATGCTCTTAACCAACACTTTTCTGAGTTCGTTTCTATTCATCATTGAGATATCATGAACAGAATTTTCTCAAGTTCCTTTTTTAAAGATATCATCTGTGATTCACTTGACAAATTCATATTTCCTGTTTTATGTCACAATAACTGCTATTTTTAAAATTTGTGTTGAAGCTTGTAACCATATTTTAATATTGCTGTCAATTTTTTGTGTGTCTGTAACTGAAGGTTCCAAGTGTAGAATCATATGTCTGTGTTGCTCATCATTTTATCCCCATCCCAAGGCATGTCATTCCTCAATAAATACTATTGAATCAATAAATGTGTCATAATATATTGAGTAGCACTGATGAAGAACTTACATCCTACCAGATAGAATATTGAATATTTATAATGTCTAAGTTAAAATTCTTCACACTCAAGACCCTGGTAAATTATGTATCTCTTTGGGATGTTGGTTACACAGACAAGAGTGAGATGTAACCAGTACTTAGAGTAATTAATTTGCTCAGAATCAAAAATCTTGAAAGTAGTAGAACTAGGCATTTAGTACTTGTTCTCTGATTCATGACACC